GAAGAAAAAAAGTACACCTTCTATGTCCAGAAGGCTTGAAGAGCCTTAACAGGCATTTTTCACATACGGCTTTTACCTCTAACATTTTATCAGTATTGAACACCAGCTCATCCTCTAGCAGTGTTTAGATGGCACGTGTCTGTACAGCGTCTTGGTTAATAATCAAGAGCCGGCACGGCACAGTGGCCATGAGACTGACCGCTGGGTTTGATCCCAGCTCTGCCACCTGCTGACCTTATGACTGTGGAAAACCAGGTAACTTCTCTGTCTCAATTTTGTATTTTTACGATGGGGACGGTAACACCACCTACCTAATACCGTTGCCAGAAGACTCAGATGGGGCAGCAGGATTCAGAAGAGGTTTCCCGAGACTCTTGTCCCCTAATCTAGATGTTTCTTGGGAAGGGGCTTTTCAGATGTACCTAAGGCCACTTATCATGTGGCCTCAAACCAGCTTGTCATTCAGGGGGACCCAATGTACTCACCCAAGTCCTTAAAAATGGAAGAGAAAGGTAAAATAATGAGTCAGAGGAAATGCACTGGAGAGACGAGGGAGGAAGACAGGCAGGGGATCCAAGATGGAGGACCCAGTCCACTACTGCTGGAACAAAGGGGGCCTGAGTCAAGGAGTGCAAGTACCTCTACAAGCTGAGAATGACCCTTGATGAACAGTGGTGAGGAAATAGGATCTCCATCCTCAGCCACATGGAACTGAACTCTGCCCTATAGCCTGAATGAGTCTAGCCAAATGTTCTCCTCCGGAGCCCCTAGAAAGGAGTGCAGCCCTGACAACACACTAGTGTTAGCATTGTGACACCGTACACGAAAGACTACCTGAGCCATGCTGTGCTGTGCCCGGACATCTGACCCACAGAACCTGGGAGACAGAATTGTTTAAAATCATTCAGTTTGTATTAATTCATTACAACAGCAACAGAAAACTACTACAACACAGCTGTGACTGTGTGTGCTTGGGCTGGAGCATGCAGGACTTTGCACACTCAGGAAAAGGAATCTTTACAGAGTGGGTAGCACAGGGCTCACTTACCAAATTACATCCATAGCCTTTCCTTGTGAAAATTACTCTCCAAATAGGAGGAAGAAAAGAAATTAAAATACAAAGTCTACTTCTGTGGAATTAGGAGACATGTGAAACTCCTCCAAACAATAATATATGAAAATTCAAAGTAAATGAGGACTTCTGATTCTGATAATGTGGCAGGATGGTGCTCAAAGCACCCCTGACATTGCAAAGCAACCAGATCCCAGATGAGACTTACTTTTTTGATGCATCAATGAGCTCTTGAAAGACGAGGAAAGTCTCCAAGGCCCCTTTTTCTCCTAGAAAGAGGGGCAGAGCTATAGCACTTACTAGTGGGCAAACAATGGGGAGGACTGCACTGATAACTGATGTCAGTGGATTACACTGATAGCTGATGTCAGTAGGGATATCCACCTCAAGCTCAGACATTGAGTCTTGGGCCAGCTGCAAGGTAGAGTAACTGAGCTATACCCAGTGCTGCATTCAAGTGAGACTGAATTATCTAAGATCTGTGAAGCCCCTAGCTCTCTGTAAGAGCAGCTATAAATCCTCTGGAAGACAGCATCCCCAGTTTAGATCCATGGGATTTTCCACAGATAAAGAACAGCCACTAGTTCACAAGCAAAGAACAGCAACTACTAAGTACATAAGCTAAGATTAGTGGAAATCAGAGGAAAGAAGAACAGACCAAGCCCTCCCATTATAACTGTTTAATACAGAACATAGAACCGCCTTTTACAGTTACAAAGGATAACACCACAAAGATGAGTGTGCAACTAGAACTAAAAGTGCATGGAGCCATGAAAAATGACTTAATGAATCAAGGAAGGTCAAGACTAAGTGCCTAAAGTGTGGGTGGTCGGGGTGAAATGCTGACAGGCAAACCGGTCCCCCAGGTAGGAAAAAGACAGCCTAGGGACTCAAGTCAGGCAGTGTGTGGGGAAGTCTGTTCAAGGAGTGTGACTCCAGATTTTCCTGGGCAGATGACAGGAAGCAAAAATTGGAAGAATAAATTTAGACAGACTTTGTACTCAGGGACACCAGAACCCGAAAATGGGAATAAAGAATAGGCATGCTGAATGAGACCTAGAGTCCTTCTCTCTCCCACTTACGAGTGCCATCAGTCAAGTTTAAATTCCATTGCAGGAGACTAGAAGACCTCTCTTTTGCTAAACTAAAGACTAGAAAAAACTGGTTATTGGGGTTCTCCAGTAGTGAGGTGACTGACCTCCCACTCCCACCATGGTTCCACAATTCCTTGGTCAAAAAGCCCTATGCTGCCAGAGCTCACATCAGCTTAAAGTGATTCACTTTTACATGTGAACAGATGGCCAAATGTCACCAGATATTTGAAGACAGTCTTCCACATGAAAAACACACAAAAACAAAGATGTGAAGAACTCAAAAGGAAAAAAGACAATGCAGAGGGCACAGGCAATATTGCACAGTGGTCAGGCACAAAACCAAACTGGTTTTAATCCTGGCCTTACCATGCTCTGTGTGTGAGACCGTGGGCAAACCACTTACTCTCTCTATGATTCAGCTTCCCCAACTATAAAGTAAGAATGGTAACGGTATTGCTTCAAACAGTTTCTGTGACGATCAAATGAGTTAATACATGCAGAATACTTTGTAAGTACTAAGATTTTTTTATATCTTGAGACAAATAAAGTTAGATTAGGACATTCTAAAAATGAACAGTCAGTGAATAAGAAAGTTCTTAGTATTCAAAAAATATTACAGATGAAATTAAAACTTAATTGAAGATATTAGAAGATAAAGTTAAACAGATTTTCTAGAAAGTAAAGCAAAAAGATTGAGAGATGAACAATAAAAAGCTAGAAAAAAGCCAGATGTGTGGCACATGCCTATAATCCCAACATTTGGGAGGCTGAGGTAAGAGGATTGTGAGGTCAAACCCAACACTGTCTCAAAGAAAAAAAGTTAGAAAAAAAATTAAAGGATCATTATGCAAATAAAAGAGTTCCATATACATAGACGTTCTGTAGAGAGAAGATAAAAAGAACGGTGCAGAGAAAGTTATCAAATGACACGTCTCAGAAATGAAAGACTTAAGTTTCCACATGAACAGAACTCACTACCATTGTATTGATGTTTAGTATAATGACTAATAATAAATTTTTTAAAAATACCAGATATAAAGAAAAAAGTCTAAAACATTTGGAAGAGACAAACAGATGAGGAAGAAGTCAGATTCAAATAGTTCATACCGTATATGAACATCTGGACAGCAAATTTGGATGGAGGATAATGGAATAATTTCTTCATAATTCTGAGTGAATGTGACTTTCAGTTTGAATTTTTATACCCAATTCAGCTATCAATTCACCTGTAAACATATTTCCAGATGTTAAAAAAAATCTCCAAGAAAGTTCTACTTCTTATGCTCCACCAAAAACAGGGAGGAAAACTGTGACAATGAATACATAGAGTCAAGAACAGGTGATCGAGCCAGAGGGGAGCAGAGAAAACCTTGAGGAATGTGCTGAAGGGAGATCCTACAATGCCAGCATCAGACAAGTTCAAAGTGAAGCAGAAGGAGCCTCCAAATCGAGCTAAAGAACCAACTATGTGTGTAAGTGTATGTACATAGTTCTACAGTGCTGTCGGAAGATGCAGAAAAATCCAGATAAAACAATGAGTCAGGGAACACAAAATACTTTATAAGGAAATATCTATAGTTTATTACCTGGCACAGATGTGAACAATATTCACATGCTAAAAATAATAAAAAGAATATGGATATGGATTTAGTCAAAATGTGTAAGTAGTCTAAAAGGACGAGGGGAGAGAGGAAGAGGACTGTGAGTGATTGGGAGAGGATTGTAAGTATATCATGTCTAACATGAATAATCAGAGAGAGAAAAATACCTGCAAATTATTTAGAAACATGGAGATTAACACCAAAAAGAATTAAAAGTAAGTCAGACTAGGGAGAGGGGACACAGAATAGGGGGTGGTTTCAGTTACAAGGTTTTTTTTTCCATAACAATTTGGCTTTTAAAACTATGTTCAGGTGTTACTTTGATCAAAACAAAAATTAAAAGCAGTAGCTTCATTCTCTCTGGATCTACTACTCTGGCCACAGGGTTCAGAGTACTTTGTGCGAGTTCACAAGTGTCGACTACCAGATATCCTGAGGGCTGCTTCTTCCTGTAGGGAGAAAAGACAGCTCGCACTAACCTTTCCCCAGGGACTCATGTAAAACTTATCTCTTTTCAACATATGAGGGCTCCTAGAGTCCTAATGGGCTTTTTTGACACATCAGCTGAGTTGTATGCCTAATATACAACAGCAGAAGCAAATTAATAACTCTGGGAAGTTCTGTCCTGCCATTGCTAAGCTATCATTCACCTGGTTCAGAGAGAGGCAACTAGAACATAGCTAAGATGACAGAAAAATAACGTGCAGAGGGGATAAGGTCTTCACAACCTTACACAAATAAGAGTGTGGGGCAAGAGAGCAGCTAATGCTAGCCCCGTTCTGAGCTAGAAGAGGGATTTACCAGCGTGTAGCTCTATAAAGGGATTCCCAGACTTGCAGAACATTATTCGAATCTGAGAGATCTCAGAAATAATCCAGTTCAATCATGTCATTTCATTAATGAGGAAACAAGTTGACAAAATAACAAATGGCTTATGTAGTCCCTTCTGGTTGGGCATAGACTTCAGAACTGGGCTCTGTCTGGGATTTGCATTTTAAGTCAGACATGAAAATTTCTAATACAGGATTAAAAAGAGGGTGCTGAATCACACAACTGACTTCAGAAGCCATACCAGGAACAGAACTTGTCATTTAACCATTAAGAGATTTCATCACAGGCTATGTGATGGGGAAAAGCCCCTAGATCACATTATGCAGTGTTTTTCCACTAGGAGCAATGCCCAGAAGAGAGTTTAATGAGAAGTGGACATTAACAAACGGATGTGATACCTACACGAAAGCTCATCTTCTGCATTTCCAAGTCAGGAAGGCCCCGATGCTGTGCTTAGGGTCTCACTACCTGGTTCACTCAGCTCACCCGTTAATCAAGACATTTTTCCTGTTGCTTGCACATTCCCCTTTTGCATCGTTCATCAAAAATATGCTAGAAGGCAAATACAGACTCTTATCACTACAGAAATTAAGAACCTTCATATACATGAAGGCTCATTTAATTCCATGTTAACATTTTTTTCTTAACTTTCCTATTCCTGCTTTCCTCTGTGAGTGAACCTCTGATCAACTCACTGTAACACCTAGGTTCTAACAACTCATTATGCAGTCTTTGATCACACTTTTCAAAGCCTAAAGAGACTGTAGACATTGGCTCCCACAACCATATAATTATCTGTTCTCTCATAGACATCGATTAATCAGACATGGGTTCCTCTTGTAAGAATCATGAGGTCTTTTTTGGTTGGTTTTGTTTTATTTTGTTGCCCTTCTACTGTAATCAATCACATTTGCTTTAAGAGCTCAGTGAGCCTGTATTTAAAAATTATTACATAATATTTTATAGATAGAAAGTTATGAAGCACCCAAATAAAATGTATACCTCTAATCCTATCACCCAACTAAAGATTAGATCCCATTGACCAATATCATTGGAAATAACTGTGTTCTCTTTGGACCCCTTCTTCAGGCTCCTCCTTCCCTAGAAACAGTCCTTGCTTTTAAACATAGTTTTCTGACATATGGATGTCTTCCAACAATATTATTATGGTTTGAATATGAAATGTCCCTTATAGGCTCATGTATACACAGCATGGTCGACAGCTGATGGGGTCTTGGGAAATGACTGGATCCTAAAGCTCTGATCTAATCAACAGATTAATCCCTTGATAGATTTATAACATGATGGCATTATTGGGAGAGGGTCACTGGGGGCATGCCACTGAAGGGCATACCTTGCTCCCAGCTTCTTTCTGTTTGCCTCGATGCTTCCTGGCTGCCATGATGGGCTGAAAGCTTTGAAATTTGGAGCCAAAATATATCCTTTCCCCCTAAGTTGACCTTCCCAGGTACGTGGCCACAGTGATGAAAAGCCTTACCAAACACATTGCTTGAAAGTATTTTTGAGTTTTATAAACATGTTACACTGTTTATAGACTTGGGAACTTGCTTTTTTGTTGAGCATAAGTTAAGTTTTTAAGATATGTCCAAGCTGTTACATGTAGCTACTGTTTTTTCATTTTCACAGCTGTGCAATATTTTACTGTATGAATATCTCCCACACAATGCATTTATTTATTTGTTCTTGAACATTTAGATTATTTACAATTTTTGGTATCGTGAACAGTATGTCATGAACATTCTCAAATACGTCTCTTCAAGAAATTGCAAAAATTGTTCTAGTATATATACCTGAAACAGAATCGAGTCAAAGGTTATATGGATAGTCTGCTTTATAGGATGATCCCAAAATTTATTTTCCAAAGAGATGGTACCAAATTATACTCCCATTATATGAGAGGCTCTGTTTCCTCTTACAGATAATTGCCAGTGTTTGGTAATGTCAGACTTCTTCATTTTTGCCAATTTAGTAGGAGTAAAATAGCATGTCATTGTGCTTCTAGTTTACATTTTCCCTACTGCTAATGAGACTGAGCATGTTTGCATGTTTTTAGATTGTCTGCTACCTGGTTCCTAATAATTTTAGGGAATTCATTTTGTAACATTGCACATCAAACTATTCAGCAGCCCAAAACCTTGCTCAGGAGGATGGAACTACATGAGGAAACACTGGTATCTCTGAGTTACCACTTGCCTTTATGCAACAACATCATTATTGACTCTGTAAAACATCCAGCTTTTCCCTCACTGAACAATAGCCTGTAGCTCAGGGATCTCAAGCCCAGCTTAAAAGGGGGCCACCCAGGGTAGTCTGGGTAGTCTAAGAGAATCCCACCTTTTCTTGCTGGCTCAGGAATGGAGATGTAAACCAAGTCTGTCTAAAGCCATGGGAGTTTCTGGGAAAATCCTTCCTTGTAATCACAAGTGGCAATGGAAAGCCAGGATCCATCTGACACTAGATGTGAAAGAGAAGCATATAGACACATCTACTTCCAGCAGCTACCCGGTGCCATCAGGAGAAGCAATCACAGAATGAAGAGAATGAAAGTGTCTTGTGGAGGGCACACAGACAAACGGGCCTTTGATTACATTTTGGAACTGCCACATGAGATGGATGTGCCTCTGGGTACCAACTTCTGTGAATCAATAAAGTTCCAAGTTGCTTAAGACCTGGTTTTCTTTTACCACAACTGAAAGCATCCTCATTCAAGTTATGTGGTTTAGAAACGAACAAACACAATAAAAACTATGAGTCATGAATAGCATTGCTGACCCTTGTGTAGAGTTGACCAGTAACAAATGGATGCCCTTCTCATCGCCATGTTGGAGAAGGGGTGAATGATGGCAAGGCAGGGACTGTGCATTAGGGACGATTCTTGGAAACCTGGGATTGCCAAACACAGGCTTTGTTACTACAGCAGGCTTTGAACCCCCTGCTCCCTGAATAGGGTCATTCAGAATAGTCATTATTAATTAAATTCTACTCAAGGTATCTCCTTAAAGAGCTGACTAATACCACCAAAGTCTGATTGCTGATTTATGTGCTTTCTCTCTACATGTATGTACATGTATGTGAACCACTGGCTTGTATCCAGTCCCAGCGTTCTTTCTTGCAGATAGTGCTAGATGAATAGCTGCCAGTATCATTGCTGCTGTAGGTGAGTGCCAGGGTCTGGGGTGGCCTGCTGGTGACATAGGAGTTAGGCAAGGAATTAGGAAACCTGATGACTGAGGACAATGACTTGGACATTGGTAAGGGATTTATATCCTGGATCGCTTATGCTAACGGAATGACTTGTGATACACAGCAGGGTCTTGCTGACTGGTACCCCACAGAGCCTGTGGAAAATGGTCTGACCATTCAAGACCAAGAAGTCCCCCATCCAATGTGTGGGAGGAGTCGATGATACATAACCTTAACTGATGCCCAGCAAGCATGAGGCCCCGAGTTGAAGTCCCAATACCACAAAAAGAATGAAAGAAAGAGAGAGAGAGAGAGAGAGAAAGCAAGCAAGCAAGCAAGCAAGCAAGCAAGCTGCTTAGGCTTCCCTTGTGTCCATGCCTAAATTCTTTCTCTGAGATGAGAGATCCCAGACCTTGTGACCCAAATCTGGTAACACTGGGACCAGAGGCCAACCTGGCCTTAGAATCCCTTTCAACCTAGAACATAGACTCCTGTGCCCTAAAGAATCTGCAACATGTCTCCTCTTCAGGAGAAGTAAGACATTTTTAAGTTCTATTCTCACCAATAAAGAATCTGAGTGATGCCTATGTACACTGAATAAAGATGATCTTATATCAAATCAGCCACCAAAAACCTAACCTTTGAACTCCTGCCACGGGCAAAGCCACCAGCTCCATGAACTAGTCAAATGGTCAGTCAATGGTCTAGGGTGAAAGCAAATCACCACTGCCTGTCCTGTGTGTGCATTCCAAAACAAAGCCAGATTGACCTTGGAGACGAGGCACTTTCTGAATGTGAATTCACTTTTATTAACTGTGCTCACAGATACAGAACAGAGCTGATGCAGGGTTTGATAACAAGCTTTAAATTTCAGTGCAGTGAAATATAATATATGTAATCACAGGCTGCAAGTGTAATCTCAAAGAACAGGAAAAAAATCCAACGATACAAATAATTTAGAGTAGTACCGATTCCTGGAATCATTATTCTTTTCAGAAATGACTGATGACCTCCCATCTCATTATTTCAATTTCACACACTTCTTTACTTACAAAAGTAGCCTATCCAACAGCAGAGTTGTCTTTCAAAAATTTAGAAAGCATACAAGCATGTCAAGTTACTTTTTGCAGAGGGGAGATTTGATAAACAGATTTGGAGGAAGGAATCAGAGCAGAACAAAAGGAAAGGAAACAGGAAACCCCAAATGAGTGCAGCCAACAGTGAGTATTATTTTTACAAGAAAATAATTTAAAATTTGAAATGCCAGCACCAAGAAGAGAAAACTGATGCTATCTAGGACTACAACCCACAGAAGAAACTGTAAACTAACCTCAATCTTTCTTGTGCTAAAAAATGAACTTGGTGATGACCCACGATCACAGGTCTCCTCTTCCTGGAAATGGTAATTTATTTTTCTAACTGAGGAACATCTGTTGGGGTTTTGAAAGGTTGCTAGGGAAAGGTTTTTGTAAAGGTGATATGAAGCAAGCAAAGTCTTTTATTTTCTTCTTCCTAGAAAATGCATGGCACTTAAACTTGAAATCTTTATTTTAAATTATGAAAACCACTTAAAGCTTTGGTCATTCTTCCCCTTTGGAAAGAGCATGGATTCACTGCCTGGGGCCTCATCTCTCTTGGGCAATGGTGGGGTGGGTTTGTGCCTGTGGCCCTCTGACCTCTTTAACTGGAGCGTAAGAGTAAAGCTGTTTCCTGTTGCCACACCCAGCATATACCTATCACAAAGCAAAGCACTGCTAATTCCAGTTACTTCCCATCTCTCCCATCACTCACAAGTCCAAGTTCATGCACACTTACGATTGAACACTTGCAATAGTCTGTATACCTCCATTTCCCCTCTCACTCCCTACCTCCCACTCCCCATACAGCAGAATGACTTTTCTCTTTTTATCGGAGGTACTGGGATTTGAATGAGGAACTTGTGATTGCTACACCCAGGGTTGACCTCAGACTGCACTCTTTGTGCCCATGCCTCTTGAGTAGCTGGGATTACAGATGTGAAATACCATACCGGGGTTTGTTCTTTGTTCTTTGAAATAGTCACTGGCTTTTTGCCTGGGAGGTCCTTGTACTTCAATCCTGGTATCTCTGCCTCCCAAGAAGCTGGGACTACAGGCATGTGCTAGTGTGTCCATCCCTTTTAAAAAATGACTTCCTATTGTACTTACAACAAAATCTAATGTCCTCACCATGGTCTGTAGGCTCTACCTGATCTAGCCCATGGCTCTCTCTCTGGTCCCATTTTCCTGCTACTCCCCATCTTGCTCAATGCACTCCAGGGATATTTATTTTATCATTCCTCAAAGAATGGTAAGACCAATATCCCCACC